ACCAAGGCAGCTGACAAGCTCCAGGCAAATCTGTGTCAGAACTTTTGCAATCCTCTATTAGGTCAGAAATACTTCATTATTAATTGGGGGGGGAGGGCGGGGGGGTATGAACAGCATATACAGGAACACAGTGGCTCATCCTGGATTAACAATTTCTAATCTAGTAAGAGATTTTGAATTCTGAGATTAAGAATTATGTTTTCCCCTATGTCTTTGTTGTTTTTATGTTTTGTGGGTACATTAGTATAGTTATATAAGGTAGTTTGTAGCTATAGTGTTGGTGTAGGTTAGTTGCATGTTGTCTTTTTTGGCGTTTTACTACAATGGTTTTGAAACAGCAACACCTTTCTTTGCATTTCATTGGCAGTGGTGTCTTGAAAGGCAAAAGACCTGATCTTTAGCTCAAAATACATAAAGATCAGCAATGGTAGTTTCCTATCTAGGGACTACGATGCTTCTGCATATTTTTATTTTCTCAAACATTCAAACTGAGTTCTGTACATTAGTTATGTTTTTGTTGAGCCTCAATGAGCTCAGATTTCAAGCAAAGCAAGAAAATTGTAATTAATCTTCTCCCTCACAAAAACTGTTAGGTCATTTGAAGAGTGCTTCGGAAAACAATAATTTTTTTGGACTACATCTCTCAAAATCCTTCCAACAGCATAGCCACTGGCTATATTGAGTGGTGGATTCAGAGAGCTACGATTCAAAACAAGCAACTTTTTATCAAACTTTCTGAGTACTAACTTGCAGAAACAAAGTTATATTGATTGTCTTTAAGATATGTTTCTGCTCCCAGCTTCACATCATTTTTTCTAGACAAATAACAGGAAAGCATTTTAAAAATGTAACTACTTTTAACAGGTTTGCACAGACCCCACTAAAAATAGATAAGGTTTTGGAGCGAGGTGTATTGAAGCGTTGTCATAGGGCTCAATCTGAAGATAGTAAGGAGATTATACCATTGGTTTGCAAGACCTACAGTTAGTCCTCCATATTCACAGATTCCGTATCCACTGATTCAACCATCCACAACTAGAAAATATAGATTTATTTTATTTGTATTGTCGGCTTCATGGCCAGAATCACTGGGTTGTTGTAGGTTTTCCGGGCTATATGGCCATGTTCTAGAGGCATTTTCTCCTGATGTTTCGCCTGCATCTATAGCAAGCATCCTCAGAGATAGTGAGGTTTTATTTATTTATTTATTTATTTATATTTTATTTATTTTATTTATTGCATCAGGTGAGAACCAATTGTGATGTATTTGAGAAAACACAAAGTTTAAAAACTTGACATTCTATTAAATGTCCTTTGACTAGTAGCTGGCCACTTGGAGTGCCTCTGGTGTTGCTATAAGAAGGTCCTCCATTGTGCATGTGGCAGGACTCAGACTGCATTGTAATACGTGGTCTATTATTTGCTCTTCTCCACACTCACATGTCGTGGACTCCACTTTGTAGCCCCATTTTTTAAGGTTGGCTCGGCATCTCGTGGTGCCAGAGTGCAGTCTGTTCAGCGCCTTCCAAGTTGCCCAGTCTTCTATGTGCCCAGGAGGGAGTCTCTCATTTGGTATCAGCCATGGAATGCTGGGTTTTAGCTTGCCACTTTTGAACTCTTGCTTGCTGAGGTTTTCATGCGAGTATCTCTGTAGATCTTAGAAAACAATTTCTTGATTTAAGGCATTTGCGTGCTGACTGATATCTGAATAGGGGATGGGCCGGAGATGTCTCTGCCTTGGTCCTTTCATTATTATTTATTTATTTATTTATTTATTTGCTTTATTTCTTTACCGCATTTTTCAGCCCAAACAGGCGACTCAATGCTTCCCAGCAGACGTCAGGTGGTGCAATACCGGCTAGACAGTGTAATTTCTCCAGTGGTGTAGGGCGCAGACAGCCTGTGAAAATGCGGCATGTCTCATTAAGAGCCACATCCACTCTTTTAGCGTGGTGAGATGTGTTCCATACTGCCCCTGCGTACTCAGCAACAGAGTAGCAAAGTGCAAAGGCAGATATCTTCACTGTGTTTGGTTGTGATCCCCAGGTTATGCCAGTCAATATAGATTAAAAATCCAAAATGCATGATTTTGCTATTTTACGTAAGGAATATTATTTTACTACACCATTGGTTATAATGGGACTTGAGCATCCATGCATTTGGATATCTACAGCAGGCAAGGGCTATTAGGAATTGTGGGAGTTGAAGTCCAAAACACTTGGAGGGCCAAAGTTTGCCCATGCCTGATCTACAGGGTCTCCTGAAATGAACCTCAGTGCATACAAAGGGCCCACTATATGAATGGTGTCTAGAACTTAACCAGAGACACTGTCGTCATTGTCTTTTCCTTTGTTGAGGAAGAGGATGTAGCAGGTGGCCTAAAAAACAGCATGGAATTCCACATTTTTTTTTAAAAAAAGTGAAATAAAAAGTGGGTGGGGAATCAAACAAAGAATAGGGGGGAAAGAGCCAGAGGAAATGAAAACAAGGGTGTGAAGATTATGGCTTTCCTCTTTCCATCAGGAAGAGTTGGATCACTGTACGCTTTCCTAACAATACCTAGAGTTATTAGCTCCATGCACTGTTTCCATGGACATTATGATCACTCAAACCTGATTGGTAGTGTGAAGAGAACACATACATTTCTCATTACCAGCCAAGGGATAAAGTATATCTCCATGTATTATTTCCAACCCACTCCAAAAGTTCTTTTGGTGCCAAACACTGTTACACATTTTGAGTTTTAAATTGACATTTTATAGGTATGGCTTATTTTAATATGTGTTTTAATTTTATGTGTCTGTACTCTTAAGCTATGAGTTTTAAATGGCTTTATGTTTTTAGTTATCTACTGTATTTTAAGTCCCCACATTGAGCCTTGGGGAGAGGCAGATAAGAAACAAAATGTGTTGTTGTTACTGTTATAGCTATAGCATAAACTTTATTGCTATAGTGCAGTGGTTCTTAATCTGTGGGATGCAAACCACCAGTGGGCCGCGAGGACGAAAATCTGGTCTGCAAGCCTCCTTCCTCTTTATTTTATTTATTATTTCTGCTCCTTTCATGCCACCTGCCACTCATTCCCTGTCACTGACCATGGCATATGTTCTAAATCAGAAACTAGAGCTGATGTAGTCTATCTAATGCAATTTTCTGAATCAGCACCCCAAACCGAATCTAAAGTTGCGCAAAAACTGATTCGTAACCCCTTTGGCACTAATGTTGGAGAGTGGTCCCTGCCTGGTCAAAGTAGTCTGTGATCAAGTGGTCCCTGGTCAAAGTGGTCACTGGTCAAGTGGATCCTTTTTTTAAAAAAAGGTTGGAAACCACTGCTATAGTGTAAGCTTTTGGTTAACAAATGATGAAGTAGTGAAACATTCCTGCCTGACTGGTAACCATCAGAAGACCTTTTCATCGCCGCCCCAAGACTGTGGAATGACCTGCCAAAAAGATCCGTCAGCTTAATCAGATGCCAGAATTTAAAATGCAACTGAAAACCTATCACTATGGTAGGCCTACCCAGCCAATTATAACTTGTGAATTTTAACATGCAGAGTGAATGTTAATTTGTATTTTAACTGTGTATATTTGTTATATGTATTTTAATAGTATTTTCTTGATGGATTACTGGACTATGTATTCTCAAAGGCTTTCATGGCCAGAATCACTGGGTTGTTGTAGGTTTTTCAGGCTGTATGGCCATGTTCTAGAAGCATTCTCTCCTGGCGTTTCGCCTGCATTTCTGGCAGGCATCCTCAGACCTCCCAACCTCTGAGGATGCCTACCCTAGATGCAGGCAAAACGTCAGGAGAGAATGCTTCTAGAACATGGCCATACAACCCAAAAAACTTACAACAACCCAAACACTGGACTATCTCATCAGCCAAAAGCAGGCCCACATTTCCCATTGAAATCCTGGCAAGTTTATGTTGGTTAAAATGGTTTGTAATTTATTTTATTTTGTTGTACTGTAATTTTGGGCTTGTCCTCATGTTAGCCGCCCCGACTCCCCATTGGGGAGATGGTGCTGGGGTATAAGTCAATATTATTATTATTATTGTATTGTCGAAGGCTTTCATGGCTGGAATCACTGGGTTGTTGTAGGCTTTTTCGGGCTATATGGCCATGTTGTAGAGGCATTCTCTCCTGACGTTTCGCCTGCATCTATGGCAGGCATCCTCAGACCTCACAACCTCTATATGGCCATGTTCTAGAGCAGGGGTCCTCAAACTAAGGCCCGGGGGCCGGATGCGGCCCTCCAAGGTAATTTATCCGGCCCTCGCTCAGGGTCAACCTAAGTATGAAACTACTTGAAAGCACACAATAACAACAACAATCCTATCTTATCAGCCAAAAGCAGGCCCACAGTTTCCATTGAAATACTATTAAGTTTATATTGGTTAAAATTGTTCTTAATTTTAATTATTGTATTGTTTTTAAATGTTTTTGCACTATAAATAAGATATGTGCAGTGTGCATAGGAATTCATTCGTATTTTTTCCGAATTATAATCTGGCCTGCCAACAGTTTGAGGGACTGTGACCTGGCCCTCTGTTTAAAAAGTTTGTGGACCCCTGATCTAGAGGCATTCTCTCCTCAGACCTCACAACCTCTATATGGCCATGTTGTAGTGGCATTCTCTCCTGAGGTTTCGCCTGCATCTATGGCAAGCATCTTCAGACCTCACAACCTCTGAGGATGCTTGCCATAGACGCAGGCGAAACGTCAGGAGAGAATGCCGCTAGAACATGGCCATATAGCCTGAAAAACCTACAACAACCCTATTATTATTATTATTGATTTGAAATATTGTATTGTTCTTTCGTGGGTTTTTTTAACACTACAAATAAGACATGTGCAGTGTGCATAGGAATTTATTCATGCCCCGAATTATATCCTGAGACCCCTTTCCCTAAGCCCTCCCTGAGCTGCTCTGTCTCTTTAACGAGCCCAGCTGGCCAAGAAGGCACGCATGCGCAAGGAGGGCCGGGCTGCTCGCATAGTGAGGCGGGGGGGGGGAGCCCAGCGGTGTCCTGCCCCCGCCTTCGATGCAGCCCCCGGGCACTGAAGCCCCTCCAGCAGCAGAGCCACCCGGGTCGCGCCTGCGCCTTCGGGGCCTGGAGCGGCAAGCGGGGCCTTTGGGCAGCGGCCGGCTTTTGTCCCCTGCAGCAGGAGGCAGCATCTGCCCGGCCGGCTACTCCTCCTCGCCCGGTGGCCAAACAAGCCCGGCTCTGGCGAGGAGGAGGCGGCGGCAGGCGACCGCGCGGACCGCTTTCTCTCCGGCGCGCAGCGGGAGCCGCCCTCCTCCCCAGTCCCCCCTTCTCAAGCCAAGATCGGGCCATTGGGCTTCCCCCGCAGCTTAGCCGCCTTGCAGAGAGAGAAAAGACCTATAAATGCCCCATAAAAGGCGTCTTTCTTTCCCAAAGCGGCCCCTTTGTCTGGCTTTCTCCTCCGTAGGGTCTGGCTCTGTCTGTCTGCCGCCCCTTTGGCTCCTTCCCTCTGCCCTTGGGATGCTTTCTTGGACCTGCTGCTGCTGCTGCTGCTGCCTGAACCGGGGGCCATGCCTTGCTAGGTGAGTGGGATTTTTCCTCCCTTTCAGGATCAATATACACTGGACTCTCATTTAACCGGCACTCTCAAGCAACCGGCAAAAAAACTGAAAGAAATAATCATTTCAAGGAGGCCATGTCTTGCTAGGTGAGTGGGATTTTTCCTCCCTTTCAGGCTCAATATACACTGGACTCTCATTTAACTGGCACTCTCAAGCAACCGGCAAAAAACTGAAAGAAATCATTTCAAGGAGGCCATGTCTTGCTAAGTGAGTGAGATTTTTCTTCCCTTTCAAGATCAATATACACTGGACTCTCATTTAACCAGGACTCTCAAGCAACCGGCAAAAATAAAGGAAATAATAATTTCCCAGTGGCTATGCCTTGCTAGCTGAGTAGGGTTTTTCCTCTCCCTTTCAGCATCAATATGCACTGGACTCTCATTTAACCGGAACTCTCAAGCAACCGGCAAAAAATCAAGGAAAAAATCATTTCCCAATGGCCATGTCTTGCTAGGCGAGTGGGATTTTTTCCTCTCCCATTTAGATTCAATATACACTAGACTCTCATTAAAACCGGCACTCTCAAGCAACCGGCAAAAAAACCCCAAAGAAATAATAATTTCCCAGCGGTGGCCATGTTTTACTACGTGGGATTTTTCCTCCCTTTCAGATTCAATATACACTGGACTCTCACTTAACTGGCACTCTCAAGCAACTGGCAAAAAAAATCAAAGAAATAATAATTTCCCTGTGGCCATGTCATGCTAGGTTAGTGGGATTTTTCCTCCCCCTTTCAGGCTCAATATACACTGGATTCTAATTTAACCAGAGTTCTCAAGCAACCAGCAAAAAATAATAATAACAGAAATAATTATTTCAATGAACATTAAAATCAGTTTTCCTAATGCAGTACCATTGCATTACGTTGAATTTGTTTTTATTTGGGTTGCTGTGAGTTTTCTGGGCTGTATGGCCACATTCCAGAAGCATTCTCTCCTAAGTTTCGCCTGCATCTATGGCAGGCATCTTCAGACCTCACAACCTCAGAGGATGCCTGCCATATATGCAGGAGAAATGTCAGGAGAGAATGCTTCTGAAACAAGGCCATACAGCCCAGAAATCACACAACAACCCAATGATTCTGGCCAAGAAAGCCTTCGACAATACAAAGAAATAATGATTTCAATGAACATTAAAATCAGTTTTCATAATATAGTAGAATTATGTTACATTAAATTTGTCTTTATTTGGGTTGTTGTGAGCCATGCTCCAGAAGCATTCTCTCCTGACGTTTCGTACACACCTATGGCAGGCACTCTCAGATGTTGTGAGGTCTGTTGGAAACAAGGCAATCTGTAGAATGTCCAGGGTGGGAGAAAGAACTTTTGTCTTCTTGGGGCAAGTGTGAATGCTGAAATTGATTGCCTTGATTAGCATTTTAAAGCCTTGCAGCTTCAAAGCCTGGCTGCTTCCTGCAGGGGGGAATCCTTTGTTGGGAGGTGATTAGCTGGCCCTGTTTGTTTCTTGTCTGGAATCCCCCTGTTTTTGAGTGCTGTTCTTTCTTTACAATCTTTATTTGCTTTTAATAATGCTATTTCAATATGAATATCATGTTAAAACAGAGTTTATGGTATGGTGTAGTATTAATTAAACATTACAATTAAAACCTGATCTCAAACAACCAGAAACTATGTCATTGTGCATTTTCCAGGCTGTATGACCATGTTCCAGAAGCATTCTCTCCTTACGTTTCCCCATCTATGGGAGGCATCCTCAGAGGTTGTGAGGTCTGTTGGAAACTAGGAAAGTAGGGTTCATATATCTGTGGAAGAAACTAGACCTTGAAACTGTTAGGCCATTAATGAAGGTGGCCAATTGAAACATTCACACCTACCTCAAGCAGACAAGAGCTAACACCTCCCAACAAAGGATTACCCCAGGCAGGAAGCAGCTAGGCTTTGAAGCTAGAAGGCTATTCAATGGTAATCAAGGTGGCCAATTGCAACATTTGCACTGGCCTCGAACAGACAAGAGTTCTTTCTCCCACTCTGGACATTCCACAGATATATAAACCTCACTTGCTGAGTTTCCAACAGACCTCACAGCCTCTGCCATAGATGTGGGTGAAACGTCAGGAGAGAATGCTTCTGGAACATGGTCATACAGCCTGGAAAATTCACAACAGCCCAGTAATTTCAGCCATGAAAGCCTTCGACAATACATTAACCAGAAACTACATTTATCAAGCCTCTAGTGCTGGTTAACTGGGAGTCTACTGTATAATCTGTTAGTTTGCATCCTCCCTTTAATAAGGAGGCTGTTAGCATTGTTCTCTCTGTGTATCTAGACAGAAACACTTGGCCTCCTTGTCTCTAAGGTCTTAGGGTAAGGAGGTTAAAATCTAAGCCTTGCTGTCTGGAAGGGAAGGGGGGGGGGGGGGGGTCTTGTATGAATGAGCCACACCCTAATTGTCTGTCTCTTGCCTTAAAGGGACCCAGCCCTCTAAACTGCCATGTCTTCCTCCGCCTTGTTTTGCCTCTAGTCCCTTGAAGAAAGCAGCTGGCAGTGGAGGAGGAGGAGGAGGTGCTGGGCTCTAAAGCGGCCTCCAAAGCTAACCTTGGATGGATGCAGGGATGCCAGGTGGCAAGGTGGACGCTGGTGGCAACGCGGCCGCCCCACGGAGATCTGAGGCCCGAGACGGGGTGGCACAAAGAGAGGAGGAGCAAGAAGAAGAGGGGGATGAAGACCTCCGAGATGGCGGGGTCCCCTTTTTTGTGAACCGGGGAGGGCTCCCCGTCAACGAGGCCACCTGGGAAAGGATGTGGAAGCATGTGGCCAAGATCCACCCGGAGGGAGAGAAAGTCGCCCTGAGGATCCGGGGAGCTACTGACCTATCCAAGGTAAGAGGGGGGTTTGGTGCACAAAGGGTTAATCACTTATCATTGTGTTGGAAGAGGTCTTGCCTTGTCTTTCTAGCCTGGGAGGAACAGATGGGCTCTGACAGACGCAACTGAAATGACACAATTACAGACCAGGGGCTGCTCTATGGTTAGAAGAGAGGAAATAAGAGATGGGGAATGTGGAATCCTTCAAAAAAGCCAATGGGATTTTGGCCTGCATCAATAGGAGTCTAGTGTCTAGATCCGGGGAAGTCATGCTACCCCTCTATTCTGCCTTGGTTAGACTACACCTGGAATACTGTGTCCAGTTCTGGGCACAACAATTGAAGGGAGATGTTGCCATGCTGAAATGTGTCCAGAGGAGGGCGACTAAAATTATCAAGGGTCTGGAGAACAAGCCCTATGAGGAGTGGCTTAAAGACCTGGGCATGTTAGGCCTGCAGAAGAAAGGGCTGAAGGGAGACATGATGGCCATGTATAAATATGTGAGAGGAAGTCATAGGGAAGAGGGAGCAAGCTTGTTTTCTGCTGTCCTGGAGACTAGGACACGGAGCAATGGATTCAAATTACAAGAAAGGAGATTCCACCTGAACATTAGGAAGAACTTCCTGACTGTGAAAACTGTTCAGCAGTGGAACACTCTACCCCGGAGTGTGGTGGAGGCACCTTGTTTGGAGGCTTTTAAACGGAGGCTGGATGGCCATCTGTCGGGGGTGCTTTGAATGCAATTTTCCTGCTTCTTGGCAGGGGTTGGACTGGATGGCCCACAAGGTCTCTTCCAACTCTTTGATTCTAGAGTTGTTAGACTACAACTCCTTTCATCTCTCACTGTTGGTGATTGCATTCATTCTACAATGTAGATCACTGTATTGTAGATAAGGACCTTTGAAAGATACAGCTACACCAGGCATGGGCAAACTTCAGCCCTCCGGGTATTTTGGATTTCAACTCACACAAATCCTAACAGCCTCAGGCCCCTCTGTTTCCCCCCTCAACTTAGCAGTCCGAAAGCATGCAAATGTGAGTAGATCAATAGGTACCTGCTTCTGTGGGAAGGTAACAGCGCTCCATGCAGTCATGCTTATCAATGACTGAAAGGTTGGCAATTCAAATCCGGGGGAGTGGGATGAGCTCCTGCTGTTAGGCCCAGCTTCTGCCAACCTAGCAATTCAAAAACATGCAAATGTGAGTAGATCAATAGGTACCCGGGAAGGTAACAGCGCTCCCTGCAGTCTTGCTGACCACATGACTGAAAGGTTGGCATTTCGAATCCGGGGAGCGGGGAGAGCTCCCATTCTTAGCTTCAGCTTCTGCCAGCCTAGCAGTTTGAAAACATGGAAATTTGAGTAAAGCAATGCAGTCATGGTGCTACATGCAGTCATAGTCTTGGAGGTGTCTATGGACAATGCCGGCTCTTCAGCTTAGAAATGGAGATGAGCACCCCCCTCCCCCCCCAGAATCAGACACTACTGGACTTAATGTTAGGGGATACCTTTACCTTTACCTTGGATCATCTGATTTTAATTGATGTTTTATTGCTATGGTTTTAGTGGGTTTGGTTTTTAAAAAATTTGTTTGTTTACCGATGTATTAATATATTGCATTGAATTGTTGTCTTTTTAAGGCTGCCCAGAGTCCCCTTTGGGATTGAGAAGGGTGGGATATAAATGTGTCAACTAAATCAATAAATAAAGGTTCAACTTCATGAGAAGATCCGCTAGAATTAACTAGCTTAGGAAACTGTTTTCTAGCTAAGGACCTTTAAAATGATACATCTACACCAGGCATGGGCAAAATTCAGCCCTCCAGGTGTTTCAGACACCAACTCCCACAATTCCTAAGAGTCTCAGGCCCTTTCATTTTCCTCTTCAGCCGGCTGAGGGGGAAAAGGAAGGGACTGGACTCTGTTAGGAATTGTGGGAGTTGGAGTCCATAACTCCCGGAGGGCTGAAGTGTACACATGTCTGATTGACACTGTAGAATGAATGCAATTTGACATCACTTGAACTGCCATGGCTCAATGCTGTGGAATCATGGGAGCTCTAGTTTGACTGTTTTTGGCTTTCTCTACTAAGCTGCTAGTTTCTCACCAAACTACAACACCCATGACTCCATATCATTGGGTCATGGCAGTTAAAGTGATGAGTCCCCTGTAACTTGTGGCAAAGATGGTAGTTCATTGTGATATGTATGCTCCTAGGATCTAATAACTACCATGTCAGATTACACAGAGAAGCCATTGAAATCCACAAGCAAGGAGGAAACTATGAAAATGAACAAAACTATGAAAATGAACAAAATCTGGCAACCAGTATTTAAAAAACTCTAAAATCAGGACAGTAAATAAAAAAACAACACTCAAAACCAGGGGAATTCCAGACAAGAAACAATCAGGGCCAGTTAATCATCTCCTAACAAAGGATTCTCCCGGGCAATAAGCAGCCAGACCCTGAAGCTCCAAGGCTGTTAAATGCTAATCAAGGTGGCCAATTGCAACATTCATGCCTGCCTCAAGCAGACAAGAATTGTTACTCCTACCCTGGACATTCAACAGATATATAAACCCCACTTGCCTAGTTTCCAACAGACTTCACAAACCTCTGAGGATGCCTGTCATAGATGTGAGATTTTCAGGAGAAAATTAGAAGTTTTTAATTAGGAGATGCAAGTGGCTTTTGTTTTTATTACTTTTGTTATGGTTTTATACTATGTATTAATGTTTTAAATGTTTTATGATGTTCTTGGGCATCGAATCGTTGCCTCTGTAAAGCGCCCTGAATCGCCTGAGGACTGAGAAGGGCAGTATACAAATATAGCAAATAAATAAATAAAATGCTTCTGGAACATGGCTGTACAACCCGGAAAACCATCACCTCCCAACAAAGGAGTCCCCCAGGCAGGAAGCAGCCAGGCTTTGAAGCTGCGAAGCCATTCATTGCTAATCATGGTGGCCAGTTGCAACATTCACAACTGCCTCAAACAGACAAGAGTTCTTTCTCCCACCCTGGACATTCCACAGATATATTAACCTAGTTTCCAACAGCCCTCACAACCTCTGATGATGCCTGCTATAGATGCAGGTGAAACGTCAGGAGAGAATGCTTCTGGAACATGGCCATGCAGCCTGGAAAACTTGCAGCAACCCCACAAAATAACTGTTTGAGGAAACCAAGGAAACTAAATTGCAGAAGATGTGTACATGCTAACTTGTATCAAGCCTTGTGGTGAAGTACATCTAGATCTGACTTGTGCGCCCATGGATGGAAAAGGTTTCACTGTCTATTGTTAGATGCCGCTGTTCTGTTCTGCCTAAAAATGCCAAGGAACTGACTCTAGTGGGTGGTGCTGGCAGGCTCTTCCACAAAGGAGTAATTCTTCACTTCTATATTGTTTTCTACTCCCAACACAGTATATCCGCACATTGACAATATGAGTTGTACCCAGTATGGAGGTTGCTTGGTGAAAGACATTGGCAAAACAAAAGCAACAACAAAAACAACAACAACAACAAAACATGGTGGAAACGACCAAACGGTTTCTGCAGTGCAGTGTGTTTGGTGAGCAGCAATGGCAGATGGCTGAGCTGAGTGGGCAAAGGGAGGGGATTCTCTGGGGATGGGAAGACAGATGGGAAATCAGTTACTAAATGGGAAAAAAACTGCAAAGCAGAGGGGACTCCGCTCCGTATAGACTAAGCTGCCAGTGAACAGTTGTCTTGTACATGGTAAATTGCTGTTTATCTGGCTCTCCTGGCCTTTATACAACTTCACCAAGGAGACATGTTGTCCTCAAAGATTTTTTTGGCTTGCAGTCTATATGATTCTGATAGTTTTAACCATAGCATTGATAATCCTTGAAAAAGGAAGATTACAAAGGTATGGCTGCAGTGGTCAGAGCCATTGCATAGAAACTGCAGCACTACTTTGGCTCTCACTGCATTGGCTGTTCTTAAGTATACCTTTTTTTTTTAATTAGAGGCCTCCGTTTTGTGGTCTGGCAAGGTACCTTCTCATACACTGGGCACAGACATTCTTGAGTGCTACTGAAAATTGGCTCATTATGACAGTTTGCTGGGAACAGCAACCTCTTAAATGATGCTGTTGGACAACACTGTGATGCAGCTTGGCATTTGTTGCTTACCATGTCACTGCAGATAGGCATGCGATGGGCATTGCTCTGCCACAGCAATCCTCAGTAAAGTCCCAAGTCCCAGTTCCTTGGCATTTTTAGGCAGAACAGAACAGCGGCATCTACTAACCCAAGGAGTGACAATCACTAAAGAAATGATTTTGTCATTTGGGAGTTGTAGTTGCTGGGTTTTATAGCTAACCTACAATCGAAGAGTATTCTGAACTCCATCAATGATGGAATTGAACCAAACGTGGCACACAGGACTCCCATGACCAACAGAAAACACTAGAAGGGTTTGGT